ATGAACTTTTATTAGAGAAAGATTATTTTCCGAAAATACTCCATTTCATATTTTAAACTTAATTTCATACCTTTAGTGACTGCATATAGCAAATCTATAGGAAATATGCGCATAAGCAATATTACATAAAGCCTGATGACGGCTTTCGACAGATCATCATCAGCCTTTGTTGATCTACTGTTTGAAGAAAACTTCTCCAATGCTTTGCTATAAACTTATGACATCTGGCATTTTCATCCATCCTGATTCAGCGAACTTCTTTAGCTTATCGCTGCCACTGACTTGAAGGCCAACCGACGAGTCATTTACTCTCTTGGACCCTAGTATAACGTCTCTCTGGCCCAGCAATTATCGGTTCTTCTTGCAACGCCTGCTACTCATTGCCGCTTCAACTTCTTCACAGTACCAATGACACTGCACCCCTCATTGTACTATTATCCATTCATTCATTATGACCATATACTTCAAGATTAAATCACAAATGAAATCACGTTCTTCACTTCCCGGGGATTGGATTGTCGCCGGCGAAGGCAGCAGCTGATAAGGTATGAAGGCACAGAGCGCTAAGTTTTAGCGCACAAGAAAAAATACTAATTTAAAGAAATTGCATGCCTCGCGGCGTTTGAGACGGACATCTATACGGTTCCCTTTGTTGCTCGTTCCTAACTACTTTCCAGGCAGTTGTCTTTTCAGCCTTATTAAGCGCTTCGTCATTACACCATAATATTTCCTTTGTGACATAACACTGCTTTACACTGACACTTTCTTCCGGAACGAGGTTGACATATGTCTATCTAGTTATTTCATTTCATTCTGCAGTGACCATTACTGTGAAGCTTTCATCACTGCTATCTTTTGTACTTTATCCAGTAATCTCAGGGGTTTACTGTCACATATTCATAAATCTTTCTCGATATGTCCTAAAGATATGGTTGTTCTACAATCACTAACTGTTCCTTCGTAACGGCTTTCAAACAAAGCACGTGTTTCCATGTTAATCTTCAACTTAACCACAAGCATGCACAAGCTTATGATGAAGATGAGGACAACGCTGATGGTGATAAACGGTGAGTGCCAGGTAGCTGATAATACTACTGAGTCGAAGATTACAAAAGTTAACTATGATGATTTTGACAATAATAAATGTGATGGTGACAATGATACATACTTCAATCAGCCAATCTAATCGAAAATTAACGAAACATGAGCATTAAGGTAACGCTAAAGAAGATTCTAAACAGAGAAGATGAAATCTGCGGAATAGATGAAACTCCGGTGTCATAAAAGATCAACGTCTGGTACCGATATCACTTTCAGAGCTGGAAGCATTTTCCTCCTCCGGAGTGGAATCGCTAACTGACCCATCTCCGCTCTCTTCTTCTGCATCATCTGAGTCAACAGAGCTGCTTTCCGCACTGTCATCCTCCAGCGTCTCTGCCACGTTCGCAGAGTGCTTAATAATCAGTTTCCTGGCACGCTGAATAGACTCCAACGACGACTCTGGAAGTTCGCCTCTGAAAATTAGCTTTGATTATCGAACTGAATTTTCAGAGAGCAGGTCGATGACTTACACGAATTCAGAATATTGCCTTCTCATGCATAGATGGAAATATTCTAACCATATGAATCAATGTGGAATTATAAACAAGGAAATTACACATGCTGGTGAGGAGAAAAAGCAAGCGAAATTTAAAAAAAATTAATTGCATTAATATTAGAGAGATGGAAATCGATTATACAATTTATGTGGTGAAAGGCAAAGCAATCTGCAAATATGAAATTAAATATACGCTGTGAGAGCAAGGCACTAGGCTTATTTCAGCCACAAGTCGCGCAGCGAGAGAAATGGACAAAGTGAGAAAACAAAAATAGCCCTGAACAGACGACGTTGGTGTAAACTGTAAATCGATACTAGTTAGTTAAAAACCCAAAACCATAAAGTTATTGTTTTCTCATTAAAAGTTGAATATTGCGCCATCAGCATGCATGTCATTTGAACCATGAACCCCCGTTGGCGTCAAAGACATCCACACTGTTCGAGCGAGCATTCTACTACTGCCGTTGCGCATCTATGCAACGCAGCCGGTGTCAAATGCTGTGGAACCTTCATCATTTTAATAGTACCCTACGCCTACAGAAGGAAGGAACGATCCATATTAATCGAATACAAGATGCAATGATTTATATAAGTCGTCCTCTACGGCAGCATTATGTACACCAACTATACTTGGTCTCAATATAAAACCATACACAGGCTACCGACTATGCGAAATTAACAAAATAAGCATGGCATGGTACGCCTTTGGAAGACTGAAAATGTTCCTATCAAGCAAACTGCCTTTGCTCTTGAAACGAAGTTATCGATCAATGTTTGCTTTTGCGAAATTTAAACCCTAAGCCTGAAAGTTGTTCAAAAACTGCACATCCACTACGGAAGGATGTGTGTAGGAAATAACAAGTAAAGATGGGACAAGGAATGAATGGATAATAACATATGCAACAGTTTGTCGTGTCACTGCCTGAGTGAAGAAGTTAAAGTAGCAATGGGCAAGACATGTTGCAAGAAGAACCGACCATGGTTGAGCCATAGAGGCATTTCCTTCGGTTCGGAGAGAGTAAAAGGGAAGTAGAAAGATCTTTAGATCGATGACAAGAATACCTGAGGAAGTTTGCTGGATCAAAATGAGTAAAAATGACAGAAACGAAAAGTCGATGGGAAAAGTTATGGCGAGGTCTTTATCCAGCAGTAGATCAAAAAAGGCTAATGATTACATAAATGACCAAGTGAAGGCTTGAGTATGTGAGTAATAAGATGTAGTGGGCGAAAAAGGGGTACAGTGAGATGAAACGACACCGAGCTGGCCCTTACCGCGTTTTTTTCACGTGTACGTTGTAGGTCAGTTGTTGCAACGTCCATTCGTTTGTTTCGTGGTTGTAAATTAGCAGGCACTCCTTTTGATACGTGCGCCGGTTACCGCGATAGATAGTAGCATCCTTTATTTCTCCTTTCTCCTAAACAGCGAACAAAAGGCTTTCGGATCTCAATGAACAAACAAGGCTATGGCAAAAAACGATTTACGTCAAACTTCGGTATCGTCACCGCCACCTCGTTGTTTTCCGCAAATTCCACGTAGGTTTCTTTGCACTCCTCGACGGACGCCGGTTTGAAGTCGTCTACAGAGCAGAAAAACGGCGTTAATCATTTCAAAAACAGGCGAAAAAGAAACGTCTACGAATGTATGTACATCGAACGGTGTGGAAGTAATTTGGATTGGTTTTGCCCTGCAAGCTGGAACCGGCGATAAGGTCGAATTTTCCATCAGGGATTTTGCCGCTCTTTACTGCCGACGAAGCCATCGCTTTCAAACCTGAACAAACTATGTAACAACGATAGTAATTAAAGAGAACGCATTGTCAGATCGTGCAGACTCGTTCCGGAGTTAAAGAATTTCAGT